GAAGTATCTGGCTGTAGGACGTTTTGAAATAATAGAAAGAAAGCGTCGATGCAAATTGTAGTAAGTAAACAAACGATAGAAATCCATATGTTATGATGTAAGATAGGTTAAAATTAATTCATAAATGTCAGTATGGATAGATTAAGAAATTATTACTAGATGGTGTGCATTCGATTGTGCTTGTGTATATCAAGGGCGACCATAAATATTTATTTTAATATGATTTTGTAAAGTTTTGCGAATCGAATATGACAGTAAAAAAAAGAAAAAATAAAAAGTTTCTACTTTTTATATATTCATTACATTATGTGAATTTCTAATACGAAATAATTACTTAACTTGGAGTTTAATTTACAAAAAAAAAAAAATATCGATAATTTATACAACGATTTAAATTAAAATAGATATTTCGTTATATTTGTTAAATACTTTTTAAAAAATTTATAGAATATTTTCTCAACTATTGAAACGTGATCGATCGAAATTATCGATTAGTTCTCTGCCTATATACACGTATTTCGTTTAATTTGTAAATGTTTAAAAAGAGGATTTAAAAATTTTAATATATATTTGTTATGCATTACATTGAAACAATTATTTTTTACATTGAAAATTGAAAATTAATTAATATACAGTATTCGAATTACCGTGGCACAACACGGTTCCTTTTATAATAATTGCCACGATATTCCACGAAATAGATCTTTTTACATTCTCTTTTACGTGAGGAGAGCATTTCTTCTCTTTCTTCGCGCAAATTTCCACGATCCATCATATTTCGAAAAAAGCCATTAAAAAGTTACATACGATATCATGCTTTTGATATTTCTCGCGCTATTTTTATTATAGATAAATTAATAAAAAATAATATTTTCCTCGTAACTTTGACGATAATTTCAGCGAGTTTAAAACGATCGGTCGAGATTTGTCTTTGTCGAACTCTGCGATAGCTTGGATCGCGTGTAAATAAAGAAAATATATAAAACTTGTTTCAATCGTTGGAATCGATCCTCTTTTAAAAAGAATCGTACTTTGTCGTAATAATTTTAGATTTTTCGATCGTCAATTAATCATCGTGTAATCTACAACGTGATATTGCATATTGCATCGAATGTAAACTTCGGATTTTAGCCCAGATCTTGTCGTATTACCAACGATGGATAATAGCAACATATTATTTGCGATTCTTATTCATTTTCATCGTAAGTATACGCACTATTATTTAAAAATTTTAATATCACGACAATCACAAGCCTTAATTTGAAAAACTTTTTCTTTCTTTCTTTCTTTCTTTCTTTCTTTCTTTCTCGACCGAGGTCGCTACTAGTCCCTTTATCTTTCGAAAATTCGTCGCAATCGCGAAACTTTTCGAGTCAATCAAAAAGAATCATCATATGTATAGTTCTTTTTTACTTGCAACTATTTTCTAAAATTGA